TATGACTACAAATTCCATATATTTTCATTTTTATTTATTTCACCTATTTCATGTTTGGTTCTGAGATCTTTTTTGATCTTTTTTGTAATGGAACACTTAGAAATTTATAAGAGCTTTATAGTTATATTTATATTCTATTCTATTAACACCTCTAAAAATTGCACTACCCCAATTTAGCATACTCTACACACACACACACACACACATACACACACACACACATATTCTATAGAGTATAATTTGTGTCCCCAAATGACCTTCAGTGTGACTCTATCTGCTGTATACTGGTTAACCTACCAAGAGTACTATACTTAAAAGAGACTCTTTCACTCCCTCCCAGCAGCCATCAGCTACCAAAAGTTCCTTAGTCTGGATTGGGGTTTATTACCCATGTATCTGTGTCTATGCTGGGATTTTCTTTGGGTTGAGCTTGCATGGTACTTATGTATGTGGTCACCATTGCTATCATTTCATATGAATAATTAAGCAACTATCTGGAAAGCCTGTTTCTTTGGGCTCATCCACCATCTCTGGCTCTTGCAATTTTTCCATTCCCTCTTCTGCAATGACCCCTGAGCCTTGGGAGGCAGAGTTTGATATAGATATCCTATTCAGGTATTGCACATTATCCAGTTATGTATTTCTGTGTTAATCACCATCTGCCTCATAAACAAACTTCTCTGGTGAGGATTGAGAGATGCATTAGTCTATAAATATTACAATAAGTCATTAGGAGTCAGGTTAATATGATAACTATTTAGTAGAAAATTAATATTAGCTTCTCCTTTATGATTTGTGACATGTCAACCCTCAGATTCCTAAAGTGGATATCAATGTCAGGTATGGGCTCCATCCTATGAAGCAGATCTTAAATCCAATTAAACATTGATTGTTTATTCTCATAATAGTCTTTACAGTATTATACCAGTGGATGTATCTCGACAGGCCAGTTGTTACTGTAGTTCACAGGTTTCTGTGTTGCATAAAGTTGATCATTTTTTTTCCCTTCTGGTAGCATACATAGCTCTTTCTTGCACTATGAATGCTAGTAAATATGAGGTTCTGACATCAGCAACAGCTTGATTTCTCCTTCTTTGTTCTACAGCTTACATATGTGTTTCTTCAGCAATAGGTTCTTACCATCAATTTCCGGTTCGTCACCAAGAACAGGATTAATGCCAGTATTGTTTGATGGTAAATTCACCTTTGTGATTATCGCTCTTTTACATGAAATGTGTTTCATGGTAAATCTGTGTGAGTATTGTGAAGAACACTTGTTCAGCTGTTGTTACTGATGGATGGAACTCTTCAAGTTCACTCATTATGTTCATGAAATTGCTTTATCTTTCATATTTTCTCTTATTGTTCTATCATTAAGGATAAGCTTTGGAATTATCCAAGTATTATATGATATTGTATTGTCAGTTTTATCAATTTTGGATTAAATATCTTGAAGTTTTTTATAAGGTGAATATTATTTTTACTATTAATCTTCTAGACATCTTAGCCCTAATTCTTCTATATATTTCATTTGTCCCTTCTCTTGAAGATTAGCATGACCTTAATATATATTCTTAGGTCTCTTTTGCTTAAGATTTATATTTTGTACTTTGTTTCTAATCTTTCCACCATTATTTTTGAATATTTAAGACATATTTTATAGTTTAGGTATTGTAAAAACTTTATCTTTCATATAATACTAAATTTTAAGACTTCTGTTTATGATAATTACAGAGTTAAATAAATTGGACTACTGAAAAGAATACTAAAATATTGTATTTATTCTATTTTCTTTCTTGAATTTTATTTTTGCTTTGCTTTTGTATTCTCTTAGTTTAGATCATTTCAAGACGTTTTAATCCCATTCTACCTCTACAAATATTATATGCGGTAGTGCTTCTAAATTTTTTCATGATGTCTTGAGTGTTTGCCATATAGAAATATCTTTAATTTTTGACTAACTTCAAGTAAAAATTTACTATATCAACTACTAAACCCCTACATCAACAAAAATCTAAAATTTTTATATGTATTAATTTATGCTGTATTTTTTCTTATTTTGAAGTAAAAATAATAACTTATTTATTTTGACTATTTCCCTTGGTAAATTTTATTTTGTAGTAATCATGTTAAAGAAAAAATGCTTGATTCTTACCTGCAGTTCTTTATTCCCAATGTTCTTTTGTTTCAGTTTTCCTACATTCAGGATTACCTTTGTTATCAATGTTTATACCCTTGGAGACTTCTGCTATCATTTCTTGCAACATAGCTCTGCTGGAAATTAACGATCACAATTTCTGTTTCTTTTAAAATCAAGTTATTATTGCATTACTTTTGGAAGATATTTTACCAGATTACATTATCAGAGCTTGAATCCTTTACCTTCCTAATCTTTTCACAAGTTTAAAATGAGCATGTCTCTTTTAAAAAGAGATTGTTTTATTTTAATTTTGACTTTATTCATTCAATGCTTTATTAATTATTATTCAGGTTTATATCTTAATATTGGATTGCCCGCAAGTGTAATGGCTAGATTTATTGTCAACTTGACCCAGTCTGAAGTCAACTGTGAAGACAGAAACTCATTTGAGGA